GATTTTAGCGACGATTTTTGACCCACGTCGGCCAGGAAAGAATAATGTTTCCACATTCAGAACTTGAAACGCTCGTATCGCGCATTAGCGTTGTAAATGTTATATTCGCGTCACGTGCATGATACACAATTCAAACAAAGTTCTATTTCACGGTATACGCCGCAATTTGCGCGCTTGTAGCGTTTATGAATCATTTGCCGCGTCACAACATCACCTATGTTACATAATAAAAGGTCGCGTGTCGCGTAGCAGTAACGGACGAGAGTTGCACGTGGAAGACGTCCTCGAAACTGATACCAAAAAAAATTTTCTATCGCGATTTTGCAAGCACGACACGCGACTCGCAACGTGACAGAATCGAAGTTTGATTAGTCAGAAATACCGCTGAGTACAACTTTTAAATACACGTAGCGTGCTATATATCAAATCTCAATCTCCAAATAGAAAGACGGATCGGAATTATAATATCAATTCCAAGAACGTCAGCTTTTAGGATCACGGATGCTTCCGAGAACCTTCGACATTTATCACCTGCATCAATTTTAACTGCGGAAAATTTTAGAAAATGAGATCCGAACGGTTCTGCGTGCCAGAGTTAACGCGAAACTGTCATCCTCACGGTCGCTCTAATTTGCGTTATCTTCATAACAGGATCGTCATAAATTCTTCGTCCTAAAATTCCATAACGTTTCCAGACAAAATTTCGTGATTTTCCCTGATGCTTTCAATAATATTTTGAAATTTTCGTCCGAGTATTTTCCTGGTTTGGAAACCGACAAATATTTGTAGAAATTTAACATAGCAACGTAAATTATTGCAAAGAGAAAAAGGGTTTGGTGGAAATGATCGAACCAGAAGATTTTGATTAAATCAATCAAAACTCCGGTTATCTTAACTAAAATTTTAGTAAAATTAGTCAGAAAATTTTCTGATTAAATTAACTAGAAAATTTTCTGATTAAATCTATTAAAATTCTAGTTGAGATAATCAGAATTCTGATTGAGTTAATCAGAATCTTCTGGTTTGTCCATTTTTAACCAAATCATTTTTCTCGATATATTAATGTTGGTGACACTACTTGTATGAAATTGTTAAGTTGGTACACGGAAAAAAAAATTTACTTATTTCAAATAAACGCATTTTCTTGAACTGTAATTTATTGATTGAAAGAATTAATTACTTGCCACAATAAATTTGTTTTTTGTTCCAATAAAATATTATCTTGAAACAAATAATTTATCAATGAAGAAAATATTTTATTCTAATAAAAACACAATTACTTGTCAGTAGAAAATTGTTTTATTAAATCTAATAAATGTCATTACTTGAATCTGATTGTTGTTAATGAGAGAACATTTTTCTTAAGTTTATGACATGAGTATTAGAAATCGTATATTGATTACTTTTTATGAAATATAATTTTTATTTCAAAAAGTAATTTCTTGGTTACCAAAAATATTTACTAGTAACGAGAAAATTATTTCATAAATTAATTAAATGCCTGCTAGGGACTATTTGAGAAAATTATTTTCTTGAATCAAATAATTTTTTCTTGAAACAAGTAAAATTTTTTTTCCGTGTAGTATTCCAAAATTGTGTGAGGTACATATATTAAACATTTTTTAAGACAAGAATTTTTATTTCTCCGAAAATTTTGCAAAATTCTCTGATGTTTCTCTAATTTCTAATTGCGTGACCACTTTGTATAATTAATGTTAGATACGAAGGTCAACCGATGGTCAACGAAAGAATTACTCAAAAAATTACTCAAATAGAACGAAATTCGCTGGTATTATAAAGATACGTGACGACAGGTAGAACGTGGCAAAAAAGTCAAGGCTCTCTCTTGTCGCTGACCTTCGTCGTAGCTTCATCAAACTATCTAAAATCGTAACTAGCCGACCGTATTTCAGAATTCCTTGATTACACGTCATCTTGCGATTACGTACGATACTTATACGATGAATAAATTATCGATCTCATCTTAATTCACGTCGGATAAGCAGGAAGTTATCGCGCTTATCTTGCACAGATTTTCTAATCGCGCATTTGAAAATTGTAAAACGCACTGTCTCGAATATATGAGTTATAAATCTTTATAAATTATTTTATATCTTTATAAATAAAAATATAAAAAATTTCTATTCTCATAAAATAAAAAAATTGTCTATACAGAGAAAAAATAATATTATATTAATAGCATAACTGACATCAGCCTAATTGAAAATAGAATCTTATTAATTCAATAACGTAATGAAAATACGTGTCCATTATACTGATCAAATATAGTTTTTCATTACTTTCATTTCCATACTAATTTATTAACTTGAGCTTTTTAGCAAGACACATTAGTACTTCTAATGTTAATAATACTGTTGTTGAATAAACAAAGTTATTTTTAGATAGCTGTTGACTAATGCTGTTAATCCGACATAATTTTTTCCGTGTAGAATAGTCTACATACACGTAAAGTAGACACAGATTTACAATGATTGCAAAGAAAATTACGGCGGCGAGTTGGAAAATTGCGCAACGTTTCGTTCTGAATACGTAATACCATAAGTATCTCTGTAAAAAAAAAAAAAAAAAAAACCTGAGAAATAGGACGGATTCCGTTCTCGTAAACTCGAAGAGTCGTCTATAGAATGATGAAGTTGATACGAAAGTGGGTACGGATTTGCAGTGGTCGTGAGGAAAATTACGGTGGCATGTTCAGTGATAAAAGTATACCGCACAACGCGGGGCAGATCGATGCAACTTTTTCCACTCGCGCGATTATCTCGTTTCACCGCTTACGGTGATAAACGGTTAACCCCAAGATGCGGCCAAAATTGAATAATAACGAGCAGAAGCTGCATGTTCGTACATTTGTCTCTCATTTCTCTTCTGCGATTCGTTAGAAAAAATGTTAAACTATTCACATTAAAATGTGACTACGGATACGATATAATACGAATTAATATAATTAACGAGATTCCACTACCAGTTTATTTTTCAAAAAATTTATCAATGCTGATAAATTACAAATTAATAAAAACTAATGAGTTTTTATAGACTCCTTTAATTAAAATAATTAATGAAACGAGTGGCACCCAGTTGGACACGGCTCAATTGGACACGAGCCACTCACAGCGCTTGAGACTACAAACCTCCTAAGCACCGGTCGCTGTGATTGGTGGTGTCCAATCGAGCCGTGATCAATCGGGATCACCCCCTAAAAATATAAACCTTAACTTTGAGCGTTTCCATTCATGGTTTGAGTCTTCATCAGCAATCTTTCCCCCTAGCGCAACGATTAGAGTATTGCATGACAAAATGATATCTCCAACGTATTTCTTCACAAAAATTGAACCGTTTACTGTTGTGAGGTAAGTCACATACTCACAAAGTTAGAAGGCTGAGTGGCAATGAGAACTCAAGCTAAAATTATATGAAGGATTAGATTATCAAATCTAAATTTCTGAAAATTATTAATTTTCAAATTACACATAAGTGTAATTTGAAAATTAATAATTCCTCACCTCACACAGTCGACGCTTCTACACTAAACAATGATATCAATGCGCTGATGACACACTCGTGTCTTATAAAACTCAGCGTGACTTGCTCTATTTTAATGTACATTGTACTCAATTGCGATATTCACTTTCCATGTAATAATTTCAGTCATAGGATTCTCAGGGTATAAAAATGAAATATTTCATTTTTATATGTTGAGAATCCTATTTGGTTGAATCAACTAATCTGTTATTCGGATATGGACAGACAAATTCTTGGTTGATGCAATAAAATAATTCAGTTAAAGCACAAAGTTTGGTTACTATAACATTTTACTTGTTTTTAATAACATAAATTTTGCTTCAACTAAATTTTTTTATTGTATCAACCAAAAATTTGTTTATCCATATCTAAATTTGTTTAATCATATCTAAATACGAAATTAACTGATTCAATCAAATGAGTCTCGGGGTGTAATTATTGAGGATAATTTGAAAGCGAAGGGTCGAATTCGAAATGTCTAATTAATTTGGTTATTTAATAAAGAATTTGAACACACCTACACCCAGAAAAAGGTTTCTTCGATTTAAAGAAACGTTTCTTTACTATACGGTTAAAGAACAAATTTCTTGAATTTGAACGTCATTTCTTTAATTTAAACATTATTTTTTTAAATTAAATAAAAAAATTTATTTAATTTAAAGAAATTATGTTCAAATCAAAGAAATGGTGTTCAAATCAAAGAATTTTTTTCTTTAACCGTATAGCAAAGAAATATTTCTTTGAATTGATGAAACCTTTCTCTCTGTGAGTGTAGTATTGGCTCTAATTAGTATTTGTCATTTATTATATATTATTCTTGACTTTTCTTCGTCGATTATGTTTTCGCGAATAACGTGACAAAACATGGAAATATTTCAACGAATAAATTCGAGTTGGTCGACATTAATAATGCGGATGAATCGGCATTGCAGATTGAACTGTATACATATGTAATACGATATTTGTTAATTAACGATTATAGCAATATGCCTTCATCAAATATTCAAATTCGGGATGTAATGCAATTATGATTACGTATACTATTTCTGCATGCATTGCGTCGCGTATAAATTGCACGACTGGCGCACCTTGCTTTAAAATAAGCAAATAATTACTATCATTAATAAGAATTAGCATCATATATGGAGTGACTGGACGTACTATTTCGTTCAATAATTATAGTTTCATAAAATAGACATGTCGTTATAATGTAACGTTATTTCTAAATTTCCTATTATACTTTATAAAGAGAAATAATCCATTCTGTGCATAATCCATCCTTAAAATAATCTCGTATTTATTAAAAAAAAAAAGAAAAGTCGCGCGATCACGTGACCGCGAAGAGAGACAGAACGCGCGGATACGTTCAAGTCGTAGCCTTCCAAAAATAACAATGCAATTTATTTCGATTCTGCGATCACGTGAGAGCGCGACAGACGTATCGGTTGACGTTCACTCACCCTAGAGATGCGCAGGGGTTGATGCGTGTCGCAGCCGCCGTGCATGCGGAAGCCCCACGGGGACCCGCCGTAGAGGGTGACTTCTCTCGCGCTCATCCCGCGTCGGCACCCCCGCTCCTCTTCGTCGGCACGCGCATCCGATTTTTCCCGCGTCGCGTTGCGTCACGTTACGTCGTGGCGCACGGAGTGATCGCGTAATACGCGGCTAAGTTCACGACACTCGTGCCCGCGTCGCGGACCGTCGCGCGAGGTAGAATCGCACGTAGACGATTCACGACGTAACGCACGGCACCCGGCGACGACGGTTTTATCACTCCGCTCCGCGGTTGTTATCGCCGCGAATTTTTCGGCCGTTGCCACGCGAAACGGACGGTCGGCTACGCGAAGTCGGGGCGAGAATAACAGTTAAAACAGCGGTCGTGTGTTGTCTCAACGAGGGCGACGACGAGCGCCGATTACGCCCACTGATGCAAAACGCGACGGCAAATCACACGCACGCACGCGCGCGCGCGAGACCTACACTCGTCCGAGGTTCGCGTTGGACTGACGGCGCGTCCTTCCTCCCTCCCCCACCATTCCGCCCCCGCGCGTAGTAATCCGCGCGCGTATGCCCGCCCTCCCCCACCCCCCTTCGCCCACCTGGTCGTTTCGTACTCCGCGAGGGTGCGTGCGCCCACCCCAGGACCGATATTCCGAGATTCTTCCTATCGCGTCGCCCCAAGCAAAATTTTCCTCTCTCACCTCGCGATTTTTTTTTACGTTGCTTGATTGTGAAATCATCCTTAAGATCCGGGTGCCACCAATGTAAGGGTGCTATTTCAAAATCAATATAAAGAATATACGCGGGTCATATAAGAATCAAATTTAAAAATTATAAAATGTGAAAATTACGATAAAAATATAATATTCTGTAATTAATTGATAGACAAAAGTAAATACATATTACATGTTTCGATCTCACGAAATTCAGTTTCGATTGAGCCCCCTTTAGATATTCGAAAAAATTGTATATACTCAGTGATGTTATGATGTTAAAGTGCTGTTTCATTTGTACGTTTTTGTCGTACGACAAATTTTCAAGCTTGTTGATTGGCTATAGGATAGAGAAATCCAAGGATTTCTCTGTCCCTTCTGGTTCCACCGTTGTAAGGGTGCTATTTTATTTGTGCTTTTTTGTCGTATGACAAATGTGTACAGAATAGAAAGGTTCTTGGATTTCTCTATACTACAGCCAATCAACAGACTTGAAAAATTTGTCGTACGACAAAAACGCATAAATGAAATATCACCCTTAGACCTGAAAAATTTGTCATACGACAAAAACGCACAAATGAAATAGCCTAAAATTAACTTTAATCTCAATTTAATTATCTTTCTCTGATGCTGTGTTCAATGTAGATTAACTTTAATTTCAGTTCAACTTACTTTTCGTCTTTCTCTAATTTTTAGAACTAGAAAAAGATGAAGAGTTAGTCGAACCAAGATTAAAGTTAAACTATATTGGTAGAAATAGACATTAGAATAATTCTAATAATTACATTAGTGGTACCAGACCTAAATACTAATCGACGCAACCTAAAAGAAACATAACATCAATGTTATAAGGTTTATTCGCATTGCTTAAAATTCCTTAAAAATGTTGCATTTAAAATGGGATAAATATATGTATTCAGGCGTTGAGAAAAGAAGTGAAGATTCTGAGTGCAAGCAATGTGAACAGACTTATTATTTTTTTTCTTATTATTTTTTACACTTAACAATATAAATATATTACATATAACACATGATTACAGATAATAAAAGGTCTAAAATTGAAATATCCTTTAAACATCTTTAAATCGTCATATAACTCGTTTTTGAACATGCATATTGTCTGGGGAGTTACATAACAGTTATATTACTGAATGTGAAATTATAACATTGATGTTATATTAATTTGTTTAATGTCGATTATGGAATGTTTTGATCCCTTTTTGATTTTGGCATTTTATCTCGAAAGGAACACAATACGCAATATTTTGAGATTCTTTTTTGTTTAAATCCAATTCTGATCCTTTATCACCTTGTCTTCTATTTCACACGCACTTTTATCATGCTTTCACGTTTTATTGTTGTCTTCCACACAGTGATACTTCTTCCAACATTTTCACACACAATCAGCGTTGACTACCTCTTGGCTCATTTCTCATGAATCCATTCCTTTTCTTTATTCCTGAACGAAAAGGAAATTTGTTATGTGCTTTATTTACACGCTTCAACAATTCAGAACAACTCGTTTCTCTTTACCGTAAAGACTATGATCCTTTCTTGATGTCCTAGAAAATAAAATGTATTGGTTAGATATATTGTAACTGAGATAAAATGTATTTTTTCTCGTACAATACAAAAACTTTTAAGAACATTACTGAAATGTTCACAATGTTATCGCAAAATTGTTGGACTGTTGTAATATTGCTGTAATATTACTAAAATAATCTACGCTGTCCCTGGTAGCAAGCTGACGTCAAAATGACGTCATTTGACGTCCAAAAAAAAAGACGTCATTTGACGTCAAAATGACGTAGCTTGCTACCTGGGGTATGACTTTCTATGAATTTCTTTTTTACATAAATTTCTCTAATAGCACAATTATTTACACAATACTGACCAAACATATTAACCCACCATTGACCAATACATTTCAAACATTTAACCATGTTAATGCATCGCTAATAAATCGCACTAAGTTTTATAGCGTTTTCGGCCCGGCCAAGTTTGCACCAACCTGAATTGGATTAATGACGTTTTGTGCTCTCCTATTGATAGAGCGGGTAACGTCAACCAATAGGAAAGATTAATCCAATCAAGGTTGGTGTAAACCCGATTGGGCCGAAAACGCTATTAGTCATAATTAATGTTGATGAATTAATTTCTAGATTATGATTCTCTCTCGACTATACTTTTTCAAAATTAATATTCTTTTGTATTTAGGAACACGAAAGTAGCAGCGGAATTAGAAAACGGACAAAAATATCCGCGAGGACAGGATCGAAGATGTAAAAGCGTGTCTGAGGTTATATTGTCAAGATAAATTTGTAAAACTTAGCAACAAATGACTATATGCAATGTATTAAAGTGAAGTCTATAATTTTATCTTAAATTCTTACCAATTTTACTTCATTCGTCGATATAATTACAATATACGTGGTTAGTTCGACGGGAACCGGACTCCATTTTGTCAGGAGAAATTTTCGCGCTGTCGCTGAAGTTGACCGCGCGATCGAAATCGATATATCGCGAGTATCGATTTTAATTCTGCCGCTCAAGAAACCCAGGCGAGATGGCGGTACGGTTTAACGTCAGAAAGGAACATGGCAGCGTAACACGTGGTTATGTTTGCATGTTTATCGTATGGTTATATTTGTATATTAACGCATTACCGACATTCCAGTTCATTCCACTAGTCTTGGCTGTATTGTCCTCCTCCTGATTTTTCTCGAAGGCAGATGCCGTTTATTTAAAGAAGAATAATTTCCGATGTTCGGCGAACATAATAACTGACCGTTTGACCCTTTGGACTTGACATCACTTGATATTGTAAAAAGATTGTGAACAATTTTCTCACGATTATTGTGTTCGCCGGATCGCAATGTCCACCAATACAGACGGACGTTCTGCCGAAAATAGCAAAAATCGCTATTTCCGTGGATCAAGGCGGAGAGGTAATTTGTCGTTTACAACGCTATGTTATTATTTATAATAATATCACTTATAATTTTTGATAACAAATATTTCCTACTGCAATCGTTAAGGGCGATTTCGATCAAACTCCGATTAACTTAATTGGCGGTTTATTGAGTTTGTCAACTAGCAGAATCGCTCAAGACAAATTTTTTTAATGCAGTTCTTAATCTTTTTAAATTTAATAGTTTTATTTATATTATTAAATTTAATAATTTTATTTACATTACTTAATGAAATAGTGCTAATTAAGTTAATCAGAGTTTGGTCGAAGTCGTTCTGAAAACCGATTGTTTTTCTGAAGGCGGTTACCAGAACAAGCTTGGCAGACGGAGCTTTAAACGCACCTTAGATCGATCTCCACGAGAAAATGTGAAAAGAAGCAAATTGGATATTGGTAGTAGACTGAAAGAATCTGACATAGGAATTACGGAATATATCGGCAAGCACCTTGGCTTTTCTGCGATAATTAAAGAGAGGTACAACGACTTCCATGTCAACGAGATAGATCTTGATGGACAAGTAACCAAGCTGACCCATCAAGACATCCCGCGCAATCCCAGTGACGACGAAAGTATCGAAGATCTGAAAACATTGGTGTCATCAACAATATGGGACCAGCTGCAAGCTTTGGGAAAGGAAAATCCTTCGAGTGTAGAAATTGATGTGACTAACATTGATAAAGTTGAACGTAGGACTATTCATACAATTGCTAAGAAATTAGCGAATGTTGTCAGCCAGACAGTAGATAAGGGCGATAAAAAGTTCCTCACGATTGTTCCGAATACTAAAAATGATACGAATGGTAAGTTGTAAATTTTCTCATACAAAAAAAGAGACTTCTTTATAATTTTTGATTGTTATATTAGGTCCCAAGATTCGTAAAGATAAGAGAATAGATTGGAGTAGATGTGGAGGAGATTACTGTCACTTTCTGTTGCACAAAGTAAACATGGATACGATAAGCGTTGTGAACCAATTGGCTGTAAGCTTGCGATTACAGCCGAATAACTTTTGTTACGCCGGTACGAAAGACCGCCGAGCCTGGACGACTCAGTGGATTAGTTTGAGAAAGGTAGAACCACATAACATATTGCGAGCTGGTAAAAGTATACGCGGTGCGTATGTAGGGAACTTTAAATACGCTAAAGACAGCCTGAAATTAGGAATGCTAAGTGGTAATCAGTTTAGGATAGCGCTGAGAAACGCCTGTGAGACAGACGAAAAGATCGAGCAAGCGATGAAGTCGTTGCAGGACAATGGCTTCATTAATTATTACGGTTTACAAAGATTTGGATCAGTACCTACTATACCCACACATGAAATTGGGAAATGTTTACTTCAGGGTGATTATATATTATTTTCTTTATATATCAGACAGTATTTTAGCCTTAACAGTCTAAGCTAAATCTTTTTTTCAGTGTGAATTTATATTGTAGAACGAGATATGTATATAAATTCACACCGAAAATATTTAAGCACCAAACATTTATCTTAGACAATTAAGACTTTAATTACCCAGTTGTGTATTTTTGTGTAATTTATATATATTGCATTATCTTTTGTTAGGTGAATGGCATGAAGCAATTGAACTAATTCTAAAACCACGGCCGGAAAAGGATAACGAATTGGCGGAAGTTAGACGAATCTATGCGGAAAGCAAGGATGCCCGTGCTGCCTATGCCAAGCTCAAAAGAATCGATACAATTGAAGCCAGGCTTTTGAAAGGCCTACAAATATCGGGTGACAAAAATCCTCTCGGGGTACTCGATTCAATCCCTCGAAACATTCGATTAATGTATATTCATGCTTATCAAAGTTTCGTATGGAATCATATTGTATCGAAAAGGATAAAACAGTTCGGAACAGAAGTGGTCATAGGTGATTTAGTTTATGACAAACAGAATTGCAAAGAGACTATAAATGATGAAAGTACGGATTATCCTTTGAATGATAACGAAGACATTAAAGATAAAACTGATATTATCTCTGTCGAAGAAAAAGATATCGAGTCAACATCGAGTGAAGTAAATAAAGAAAATTCGGAGCAGGATTTTCCAACAGTAAAAATTCTTACAGAAGAAGATTTGTCAAATTACACTTTGGCTGATGTAGTTATGCCTCAGCCTGGATGGAAAGTTACATATCCGCCGTATGCAAAAGCTTGGTATAATGAATTTTTAGCTAAGGATGGATTAACTACCGATCTTAGACAAAACAATAAGTGAGTTTACTTACAAACAATATTACAATAAATTGTTACTATTGTTTACTTTCTCTCTTTTTAGAAAGTACAGTTTAAGTGGTGCTTATAGAAATATATTAGAAATTCCAACGAATCTATCTTGGAAGATCATGCACTACGAAAATAAACATGACGACCTAATCTTATCAGATATCGACGAAATGAGGAAGCATACGTCTCCACAGGATAAACCAAGTAAATCAATCACTTTTACATTTATTCGAAACGTTTGTTTTATTAAAATGATTCAAACTATATGAACTATTTTCAGATGGAAAGAACAAAGCGTTGATCATAGAAATGTGTTTGAAGTCTAGCAGTTATGCCACAATGGCTTTACGTGAAATCTTAAAGAATGATACTTCAGCAGAAACACAGGCCGCTTTATCGGCCGCTCAAGATGTAGACAATATAAAGTCCAATGTAACCACCATAGATGAATATAGCAGCAAAGACTTGGAAATTGAGAAAGATCATACAGAAAAAAATTCTGACAAATGCCAGGAAGAAGACATTGATGTAAAGACGGATGATACAATGAAGATAAACGATATAAAAAATATATCAGAGACATGTCAAATTATAAAATAAAATATCTTTCGTAAATAGAAGATTGTTATTACGACATATACATCTTTTTATAAAAATAAATTTTAAAAAATGTACACAGAAGATGAATTTTCATAATCAATTAATTTGTTAACAATATTTTTAATAAACCAATTGATTATGTAATAAATTTTATTAAAAAGTAATCACTAATATTTTTACAGACAAGCAGCCATCAAACCTGCCACGTTTTCAAAATCAATCTTTTCAGTGATGTTCTTGGTTTTGATGTTTTCGTCTTGATTTGCAACGAAGATGATCGTTTTAGTCTCTTCTTTCCAACCATACTTTTTCACCCAATGTTTCAATGTTGCATCTGTAAAGAAAGAAGCTTAATAAAACTTTACACTCGTGCAATATTACAAATAAAAACTTTATATATCATACCATCCACGCCACCAAGCAATTGTGCTAGGAGTGCTCTATCTATCGTTTGAAATGTGATTCCTACTACGTGGCACACGAACTTTCTTATCGAATCCTGGAAACCTACAATTCTATCACAAAGCTCCGACATAGACAACACCCTGTCCCAAAAGTGCTGAAAGTCGCATCGTTCCAAGATATCTCCCAGATACATAATTTGATTTATGGGGCTTTCCGACATCTAGAGATCAGTGCAACTGCATGTAAATAGCTTTCACAAAAAAAGAAAATTATCCTGTATGTTTCAATTGAGGCTTACAAGTTTCTCGCTGAGCAAGCACTTGCACAACACGAAATCAGTGTGCGGTAGATTGGTCAATGCCTTCAACAATATCTGACACGTAATGTCCATGTTGAATCGGTGCGGATTTAACTGATAGAGTTTCAGAACAGCCAAATTTGCTTCCAGATCATAAGCATTTTCTCTGGATTGTATTTCAACATATTTCTCTAAAGTTGTAAGATTATCTGGATTGTATCTGAAAGTACATTCACTGTAGCCAATACAAGTAAAAAAAATAATTCTAAATAATTATTATTATATTATTATAGATTAATAATTGCTTTCTAGTTACACCAAAATATTCAGATAATTCTCATTTATAACATAACTCAGTTGAATGCTCATTTGTTCTTATTATGATAAATGGGATTTAATTGAATTTTTATCTACAATCTGTACAAGCTTGGAACCGTACAATATGTTTCACTGATATAGAATCAATTTAATTCTTCTTAAAACATATTGTTAAATACAAAAATCTAAGAGACATGTATTTAATTTTCATATTGGCCGAATTTGAAATTTAAAAGGTATAATAAGCTCTCAAAACTAATGATTATATTTAATTCCAATCAATGTTTTAGACAAAACAAAAGTTTTTACATACTTTAGCTACATATCTAGATCTTGCAAAAATATATTTTGAAAAACTCCCACTTTGTTAAATTTTGAGATTGTTTTTCATTCTTTAAGTCTCAAATTGGACCAATATAAAAAAAATACGTGTCTCTTAGATTTTTATGTTTAACAAAATGTTTGAAGGAAAATCAAATTGGTTCGATTCATTTGTGACAAGACCCTTCTCAGTGTCTTGTTAACTCATATTGTGTTAAGCAATAACTTTTTTTTTAAGCAAGTAATAACGTCACTATCTGAGTACAAAATACATAACTTTAGACTCAATAATCAACATTTGTATGAAACTGGAAAGCAACTATCATAGTTATTTTCCTTTTGAGGGATAAGTCGACATAAACGTCGTTCTATTCTTCTTGACATTCGATGAATAACAAATATAAAACGAAATGTCGAAACTTTTGTCGACTGTATCTCTTAAAAAGAATGCAGTCTAAAATATACAATAAGGATCGGATTGACAAATTTTAATTCCTCGTTCGTATGCAATACAACACTTGCGAGTAGCACGTGAGCACATGTCATAGGAAAACTATTTGTGTGGACCAAAAATGCAGCAGGAATGAAAAGCGACGAACCTTTCAATGCCTTTGAGCATTCCAGCTACAGTTTGACGCATCGCTTCAGCCATTTCTGTCAATAAAAGCGTCTTATACTGTAAATATTGGCAATGTAGACAAAATTGGCCAAAACTGATATTTCGAACAACACAACCTCAAACAAACAAGCATAGACAAAGCATCTATAGATTAAAGGCCGCGACACAGACTTTTGCATAAAGCACAATGCATAGTGCATAAACGAATCAACTAATCAGAATCTTTCCTTTCCTCCCATTCCATGGAAAAGAAGAATTTCGATTGGTTGATTCTCTTATGCACTATGCGTTATGCGTTATGCAAAAGCTTGTGTCTGGGCCCTTACAAAATATAAATGCAATAAGAGAACTAATAATAATATAGCAATCCGTTTTATTGTAACTGATCGATATTATTTAACTTCCAATTTGAAATATTCTTCCTTTACTGTTAAAAAATTCTGATAAACACTTTATTATTTCTCATACGTATCGCTTTATTATTTCTCATATAATATATATTACTCCTGTCACTTTCCGTTGAATGGCCATTTAAATCCCTTATATGGACATTTTAACGGTGCAGACAGATAGCAACAATAAAGAGAAGAAGCGAGATGGAATATCAGTGCCCTGATTGGTTACATACCTCATTCATTTCTTATACTTATTATATATCGTTGTGTCTCGCTCAAACGCATTCATCTGTCCTTATCTGACATATTGCAATGCCATCTCTTAGAAAGAGATCAACTAAAATACTGCTCGGTTTCATGGCTAAACAGTCTAAAAAATTGTCGTACATCGTCGATTTTTCTCACTCCAGCATCCCCTTAAAAGGAAATAAATATACATTCGAACGTTAAAGAAAAACAAAGCGAAAATGCTGAGTGCAAAAAGTACAAACAACGCGAACAAACCTATAATAAACGGGCTGAAGTGAGCTCTACTAAATTTTCAAATATTCGAATTTTAACGCGACTTTTAATCAATTCTCACACTAAAATAATTATTTCACTGATAATTTTGGTGATCCTAGAAGGTAGTGTATTCTCGAGAGCTGCGTACGTTTCTATTCTTGCTATCTCCAGAGTCTTCAGGTACATTTAAGAGAACGATATTTGATAAAAAATATTTAATAAAAATGGAGCAAAGAGTAGGATAATAGGAGTCTGTTTTTTTAGACTTGCATTAGAACTTTTTCTTTTTCGTTTTTATCAAATATTAAACATATATCTTTTTCATTTTAAATTCTGAAAATATATACTAATTCTATTATAGAAAACAGACCTCTTTACTGTTTCCGCCGATTAACTTTAATAGAAACTAATTCTTAGAATTAGAAAAAACTGAAGAGTGAGTTAAACCAAGACTAAAATTTAAAAGGTTGTGTTTCCAAATTTACTGTCAGCGCTAAAAATCCTGTAGCTTACATTTCATGCAATATAGATTTTCAATAACAGTGATTTTAGAATACAGCCTATTATCTACATTAGAAACAGATATAAGACAATTCGAGCTTATTACGTTCGTCTGGTGTTGACATTGTTATAAGGAGAATGAAAGAAGATAATTAAGGGATGAAAAACGATACATTAATTGCTGTTGCGAAATCGATCATTTTAATTCTCTTTCCCTTTCGCGCTATAAATATTACATTTAAATTCGAATGTTCCCGTTCCAATATATCTCTTTTTCTCTTCACTAAACCTATCGCGTCAGGTTTAAAACACGTGTATTGTACATTCATGAACTTCGTAAACATCACTTTACATAGAACAGCAATGTATCCGAACAATTCTGTCTTTACACAATCTCCCATTAATTTCGTCTCGTATATATATTTACACCTTAATTTCGACACAATCGCGCTAAGCCCATATCAAATTATGCATTGAAGATTGAGAATTACAAATTCAAAATTAAAATTCGACCAATCAGATAATTTTCAATTTAGGCTGTTCCAAAATTCACTCCAAATGTTGAAAATATATAGTAACGTAAATTATGGATTTTCAGTGCTGGCAGTGAATTTTGAAATAGCTTTAATTCGTTTCATTTTCATTGATTAAATTTTAATCTCTAATTCGTAATCTTCATAGTCTAATGTGGACTTTGCAATTATAACGCGACGTATAAGCGATCGATAGATCTGGGACAGTGTATCCTGCGTACGATCGTTATATTACATACGATCATATTTTACACTTCCCCTTCACCGATACAGGCAACTTTCGAGTATGCAAATTACGAAAACATAATATATACATTAATGATACTGCACGATTAGGTAAAAAAAAGGTTACACTAAACTAAAAATCAATTGCAACGATTGAACTTCGCTTATGCCACAAAACATTCGAAAATAAAACACCATACCATTAATCACTCTGTCAATTTAACGCCAAGATTTGACGAAATTGAACTCTGATCGGAAACGTTTTTTTTTTTCATCGTAACGCATGTAATTATAACATTCGTTTGGCGTGCAAAACAACGAGGAAGATTGAGCAAACAATTTCGTAAAGCGTTAAGCTTTTTACAAGTCTAAACCGATTCTAAAAGTAAACCTATACATAATCCTCCGAACAAAAAAGATTATATTACTTTATAATACGATGTATATTTTACATACAATTTTTGCACGTAGTTTTCTTCCTCGTCATATCTAATAATATCGCAAAAATAAGCATATATGTATATTATGCGCAAGTTAGGACTGTAAACATGATCAAGATATCCAAATATTCGTGAGTATACAAATTAATTAATTCATATATTTGAATTATTAATTCATATGAATTAATAATTCAAATTTATTAATTCATAAACTATTCGACTGCTCAAATTTGCGAATTTCGAATCCGAACTATTTGTACAAACGTAGAATATTTTATTTATTATTCGTACAATATTTAATGTGGATATATCATAATATATTTACAGTCCTAGCACAAATAAATATATATATTTTGTGTATATTTTAATCGTATTGACATATCGTATGTTTTTTTTAGATTTCGATCAAAAGTTTGGCATGAATTGAAAAGGACAGATTAGAGATCACGAATTGGAATGCTGAGACGGTGTGAGGCTGCCGGTGTGCTCGGGACTGTGTTTCTGCTTTTTCCTCTTTTTCTCCTTCTTTCGCTTCTTCCTAGCTTCCTTTTCCTCGTCGTGTCGTTTCTGTTTCTTATGTTTCTTTTCGTGCGTATCGGAACCACCTACGTCCGTCGTGGCTGTCTCCTGTCCACTGAGCACTTCTCCAGGCTTGTGCTTGTGTTTCTTATGCTTATTTTTGTGTTTTCTCTGAGGAGCTTGATTTATGTATCTATATTGTTCCGGCAGCTGCAAAATTATATTATGCAACTTAACGTTTTGCACACATACATCATTTATTTTAGAAAAAAATATATTATTTATAATTCAAATTAGACCGAAAAGAATAAACCATTTAAGAGAAATAATTCTATTTTTGTGAATCTTAATGCTTAAATATTTCATGAATTTATATGCATATTTAATTCTGCATATACATATATATTAATAATTATATTTATGTACATATATTTTAATGTATAAAAATACTTACTGGACCAGGATGCAATCGAAAACCGGCAAGCTGTACACTCGTTAAAGGCAGTAGTTCTTTACCACCTATGGGAGGTTTCTCAATTACCGATCTTAAGGAGCTTAAAAAGATAAAAAAAACAAAATGTGAAGTAAACACTTATGATGTTCAAATACTCTTGTATGAGAAAAAATTTTAATTAAATTAATTTTAAAATCATGCAAGCAAAATTTATGTATAGTATAATGGAACACACAAGACGTTGTCCAGTATTATCGTAATATAAATGACTTTAATTATATTAGGTTAATGTTTGTATTTTTGTATTTTAAATTAATGTATTCTTGTCTGTTAAAATATATAATTTTTAAGTCACCTGTTTAAAAAACTCGAAATAAATCACTAATTAAATTGCATTACAATCATACGATCCTATTTACTTTAATTTTAAATTAAATTACCTATTATCTTGATGCCCAGGTCTATCTATAATACCAGGCAAATTTGGCAAAAAAGATGATAGCTGTTCCTTAAGCTTTTTACCACTAAACTTGCTATATGAGTGTTCCAGACCATAATAGGCCATCAAATTTGTTGCTCCAGTCAGTTCGCTTTCCCCTAAAAAGTAATATGTAGAATTTTAAGTTTTACTAATTACTTTTTAAAAATTATATCTCATTCATGAAAAGACTTGAATCAACTTGTACATGCTATAAATATTGATCTTTTTCTATATTCGTGACTTTCTCGTTACCTGGAGGTTCTTTCATCAGATAAAATGGTCCACTATGGACTATAGAAGGGTTTTTTCCAAGGGAGATAGTTGTCTTTAGTGTTCCTGTAGAATCTTGACGAGATACTACTGGAGACCGTGCTCCTCTTGGCGAGGACTTCGGTGAATATTGTTCTACTTTACTTCGAAACTGATCGCCCATCATCATCCTTGCTGCTTTAGTTTATCGCACCTTTACCAAAAATAATAAAGGACCACTTTCTCCAGATACAAAGAGCACCAAGAGACAAAGGAACAGTGAGATAATTTATAATTTGACAATTTATAACCGGCAAATCTTGGATGTTCGTCGAACTGAACCACCAGGCTCAACACCTGACTCGATTAGAAATTAAGCAAACCGTGCTACTTCATCTGCAGTTTCTGCATCGCGACGCGAACGTATCAGACGACGACCAGGTTCACTCGTGAGAAAACGGATTGCTCGCATCGCAATGCGACTCGAAAGGTACGTCAACAGTCCAGACTTCCCCTTTCACGACTCCTACACCGGTCTCTATGACATCTCGTTAAAGAGATGACAACCAGGTACTGGGGCACTGGCGATTCACCGCTAACATGCTTCCCTCCGTCACTCTCGCTAGCCGATAATGTTCTTTTACGGAGAATAAGTAATCGAGTTCGCTCGATGCAACAGACTCGTCTTCAGTCTTCCCAGCCGTTACGCGCGTAGTGTCGCGTAGTGCGTACTCCACCCTCCACTCGTTCCTCCACCTCCACCCTCCACACTCCACCTGCCCCGTTATATGCATTTCGTGCGGATGTGCATGAAAGTTCGTCGTGTCGAATGATCATGCATGGACTATGGAGACAGATACTGGACAAGAATGCGTTCAAGCAGCATTTGTGATTGGCTGCGTTCAGCAGAGAAAGCAGCTTTGCAACTGTGTAAAATTCTTCAATATAATTGGTCTTGCCAAATAAATGAACCAATCATATTCAAGAATTTTACAACAGTTCCTGCTGACCCCAGCCGATAGGCGCGTCCATTGGCTGAATGTACCCATTGAAATTTTACAATATTCATTTTGAAATGTAATTTTAATTTAATAATTGATTGAAAGAGAATAAAAGTATGTTATTTCTTTTTTTTATTCCCGTTACAAATGCATTTATATTAAAAATATATACAATAAATTTTACACCCTGATAAGAATTTATGAACTATTAGCCCGGATCTACAATAAATTTCTAAAGCCATAAGAAATGGATGAATCACAATCGATTATTCTTCTCGCATTCTGTTGTAATTGGTCAGTTTCTTACGGCTTAAGGTTTAAAACACCTATTGTAGATTCGGACTAAAGACGTGAAATGTCGCATGGCAGGAAGCTACAGTGTAGTATCCAATCAAATTTTCGCTCTTAATCCATTCTACAGTAAGGCCCGTCTACAATACACAAAGTAAGAAGTAAGGGCCTGAGCACAATAGAGGAACAGGAATTAGATATTAAGATTTTAACCTATCAGAAACTGATTACATCGGAATACACGGTTTCTGATAGGTTGAAATCTTAATATCTAATTCTTGTTCCTCTATTGTGCGCAGGCCCTAT